ACTGGGCCTCGGCTCTCTACGCTGTCGACATACAGCGATCGGCATGTTGTCCATAGTCTACGTCATGCCCTGCGCCGAGCCATCGTAGGAGCCCCCATGTCGCACAGGATCGGGCGTGACCGGCACGTCGCTCCAGTGCACCGAGGACAAAACCGCTCCGTCGACCATGCCGGCACAGTGACAAGCACAGGACTCAGACATAACACCTCCACCCATGAAACGCCATGTAGCGAACGCATGTATCGCCCCTATCCTCCCCTTCAACTATAAAAGGGAGTGACCGGGGCCATTTATAGACACGCACTCACGGAGACATCGCTCAGATAGACACACACGCGCAAGCAACGAGCAACACTCTGTAATATGCACGCTCCCTCACTGCAAGAGATCAACATCTCAAGCAACCTACGCCGCTCCACGCAGAGACTTGGGACAAACTCCCTCCCTCGCCTTGCTTGTAAACCCCTACTACAAGCACCTCGGTGCAAGGAATACAAGATCGCTCTCTCAGACTGGACGTAGGGCACCTATTGCCTGAACCAGTATAAACCTTGTGTCTCTTTGCATCACCATCCCGGATTAGGGGCACGCAGTACACTTTCACTAGTTGGTTGAGGATCCGCCGGTCCAAAACACCGACAGTAGTACATAACACATTATTCGGGCTTGGAAGGTAACATTTCAAGCTTGAGGCTGATTTAACACTTGTTCTTCGCCAAAAAATCATGAACGTTTTTTTGAGAAGATATGTCGGGGAAACGCACAAAGGGGTGCTCTGGGATCAGCAGGGCCACCTAGAGCACCGGAAAAATCTTGTTGATAGGCGGCGTGCTGGAAAAAAAAGATGTTGGGAAAGCTTGAGGTAGAAGATACCAAAAGTAAAGACAGATGTCTTTTGACCAAACTATATGATCTGATTGAGATAAATTTGATTTTAGTTGCAATATCTAGGTGTTATTGCCACTATTTTGACACCACAAGCAGCATCCAAGCTCCTAACTGTTGCTATTGCTTGCCACAAATGGCTTAGTTCCATCAAAATCGAATTCACTTACAACTCACACAACCACATATGAACATCCTACGATCACCAAGCACTAGTACCAACCACATATGATCATCATTATTCATACGCATCATGCGGCGTTCATCATATGACGTGAATATGTATGGTGCTAGTGGACTGACAGAGTGAGCTGTAAAGGTAGAAAAAAAGATCGGCATACTTAGCGCCCGGACGTTCGGCCCCCTGGCGGCGTCCGTGACGTAGGTCATATCATACTCATTCTGTCGTGCCCCTATCCCTTACTATGCCCCTGTCCCAGGCAGATTCGACCGCGATGACCAACGAGAGAACGAGATGGCGATGCGGACCGCGCTGACCACCCTCCTCGCACGCCTGCGTGCCCCCGCGGCCTCCACGGCGACCGGTGGCCTGCGCCTCCTCAGAGGCAGGAAGGGCTGTGCCCCTGCCCCTATTCCCCACCCCTCCCCGTTCCCCCACCGCGCCCCTGTCCCAAGAGCACGAAACACTTCAAGTGCAACATCGCAAAAAAATATGTAAACTATGTAGTACAACATGAGAGTATAAATACTGCAACATCGCATAACTATATAGTACAACATCAAAAAATATGTACTGCAACATCAAAAAATTATGCACTGCAACATCTCAAACAGTAGTACTGCAACGTCGCAAAATCAACCATGAAACATGAAAATGTAAACAACTAAAAAATCACCTCTGCAACATTTGAAAGAAGTAATTTCAACAAATTAAAATCCCCTATTGCAACAATCCCAACATTAGAAATCTCTTTATGCAACACATGAATCACCCTATTGCAACATTTGAAAAATCATCTGTTGCAAACATCCCAAAAAATCCCCTTGCAACATTGAGAAACAACAAAAAAACGTACAAAAACAGCAAGGGGATGGGGTTCGAGGTACAGGCTGCTCCAGCCCCTGGCTCGTCACCTTCAAGCTCGCCGGAGGGAGGAGGGAATAGGACCCTAGAGCTCGTTGGAACCCTAGAAACCGCCATGTCCCTTAGATCTAGAGGCGGAAGAGGAGGAGGAGGAAAAGGAGGACGATAAGGCGGGCTCAAATCCAGAGGAGGAGGAGGAAAAGGAGGACGATAAGGCAGGCTCAAATCCAGAGGAGGAGTAGGAGGAGGGCTCAGATCCAAAGGAGGACCGACCTACCTCGTCGGAGCCACCGTCGTTGTCCTCGTCTCTGGTGGGAGGAGCAGGAGCCGGGTCGCAAGGAGCGCGGGTCGCAATGGAGGTTGCAAGAAGGGGAGGGAGGGAGGGAGGGAGCGTGGGCGGGTAGGGTGGCAGCGAGTTGGGAGCGGCGCGCGGCGTCCATCCCAGCGACGCTAGCAGGCCCAGAGAGTGGGCAGGCAGAGCGGCAGCGAGTGGGTGCAGGGGGAGCGGGGTGGGTCACGGGATGGGATAACGATGCCGATGGGATAAGGAGTGGGGGTCATGGGGGTTGCGTCCGGCAAGTTGGGGACGGACGTCCTCATAGAATCATTATCGAAAAAAGATCCATCTGTGAGTGGTTTTGACTTCTTCCTAAATAAGGACGGAGCCATCGAGTGAGGATTGGCTGAGCGTGCTTTCGCTGCTCGTGGTGGAGTACTCTTTTCATTGTTCACTCTATTATTGTCTCAGGATGTGATCGGAATTAAGCTGCGTGTCAATACGCGGGGGGGGGGACTCAAGGGATTCATTCTTTTTCGCACTAATGGAGGACATGAATATGGTCTTGAACTCATCGAAGCTGAGCATGCCGTCGCCGTCAAGGTCAAACCTACAGATCATGACCGCACTCGTCAATGTCCCGGTGCACGTCGAGCCTAGCGAGCATCTGCCCAAGGCCGAGGGGGTGGTGCAACCCTGCAGGCCCTCCTCTTGGTGCACATCCAAGACACCTGGCGCAGGCCCAGTGCCGGTCCTCTTCGCCCACCTCCCCGTGTAGGTGCGCCACCAGACGCGCGAACTCGGTAGCGTCCAGGAGGACGCCACTGCCCGTGTCCACCGATGCCACCAGCGCCTCCTCCGTCGGCACCACCAGTATTCACTCGGGGTGTGTTTGTTTGCCTAGATGCGGGGAGTCTAGCTAGACCAGCCCAGCCAGGTACCAGGGATGCAGGCCCAACTGCTACAATGCAGCTTGTTTGGTGCCTCTTCCCAACTGGGCTTGGCTGCTAGAAGATTGTGTTTGTTTGCCTGGGCTAGGTGTTAGGAATCCCAACTACCTCCCAACTACCTAGTTGGGATGGTGTTTGTTTGCCTGGACAGCAACCACCAGCACCAGACAGCAACCGCAAGCACACATGAGAAGAGCAGGTACCAGAGCACAATTATGAGTGGACAATGAAGCTAAATAGAGCATAGTTTACAAGATAAGAGCACAATTAGCAGTATCATTACAACATCATAAATTAGAGATTACAATTACTAACTAAAAGTTTCAGCCATTGCACTTCTTCAGCTTGATCCACATGGCACACAGCAGAGCACAAAGGAAAAAAATCACCACAGTTTAGCAGTGGGTGTTGATGCAGGGTTAGAAATAGAGATTGAGTTGATTGTTGAGTTGAAAGCAGCCATTGCTTCCTCATAAGAGTTGTATTTCTTATGCACAGCTCCACGATACCCCAATACATGCTTACAGCACTCAGCCCAACTGGTGTAGACACCAGGTTGTTCTCCCTTGAAAACAACATACCAAGCACACATTGTTCTACAGTTAACAAGCAGCAAGGCCTCAGTCAAAATTGGTCCAGGTGCAAGATACCAGTTTGTTCAATGAGTTTGTCTAGGTGCAGTGAAGGTAGCAGTAGACAAATTCAACAAACAGACCGTTGGAATACACATGGTAAAGGTGCAGTAGACATCACAGGCAGCTGTTGAAATGCCTCAATTATTCATCTATTGCATCATAGGCAAAAAAAAGTATGTGGCCTCAGACTTGATCATGATTCAATACATTCTGATAACGGTCACTGGTGGCACTGCTGAAGTATCAAATAGAACAAAACAGAGGAGGGCATGTTTGTTTGCCTGGAGAAGCCAAATGTAGATAGTAGAAAACTAAGTTCATGACAGCCATGGAAGCATGAGAGACGTCCAACCCAAGCCATTAGAGCATCAGTGAGAGCAGTTGCTTGGGTATGGACGTCTCACATGTTTTGATGATAGGCATGAGAACCAAGAAACCAGCACCAAGTTCATAACAGCCATAAAATCATAAGACACGTCCAACCCGAGCCATCAGCAAAGAATAGTAGGGGCTGTTGCTTGGGTATGGACGTATCTCATGGTTTAATGACAGCCATGACAAACACATACAACTAAGCATAAGCAGTGCCACCTAAATGCAAGATTGTGTCATCATCGGCCTTAAAGAACAGAATCAGGACTGCAGCAAGAAAGCCATCATAGTCAAAAGAACCAAACTCATGACAGCCATAGAAGCGTGAGACACGTCCATCCCAAGCCTTCAGTGCATCTTTGACAAAGTAGTTGCTTGGGAATGGATGTGTCACACGGTTTGATGACAGGCATGAAGGTACCAGCAAGAAAACCAACAACAATATTAGGGCCAACTACTTATATTACAAATTATATGGCATGTAGCCACCAAATTGTTCCAAATGTTCAAATGCCAGGGGTCCATGGAGTATCCCCAAATAAGTTCCCATTACATGCCAGCTATAGTTACCCACCTCCTCAATCATAAAAGAACCACAAACCTAAAAGTAGTGTGTTAGGCCGTCAGTGCTGCACAGCTAGAACATAGGAGCAAAAGTAGGCAGAAGTCAGTCAAGGAGAGTGGTGGAGGGTGGAGGAACTGCATATATAATCCTCAACTGCTTCCCTCCATGTCCAGGGCAGGCCCTAGAGCATCTACATGTAGTAGTGCTTGGCAAGGAAGGTCCTTAGCCAAAGAACCTTGTGACTGTCAACCATCTTGACATAGGCAGTGGCCTAGGCTTTGTTGTCCAGCATGTGGGAGAAGACAACAATGAGGGCTTCCTCACTAAAGCCAGGCATGTCCATCACAGCATGATACAAGTCAGCATCCACATGAGCAGGGACAGTCTCTCTAAGGGCATTGGCTACATTGTTCACTGCATCTGCCATGTTGGTCATGATGAGGACCTCCTCCTCACTAAAGTAAGGCCTCTTCCTCTTCCTACCACCATCAGAGGTAAGCAGCTCAGTTGCCTTGCTGCCTTCCCCTTGATCAGTCTTCTCCCTAGCAGCATGGTTGCCATGTGACCCTTCCACTTTTCCTAAGCCATTGTCAGCCTGGTAGGAGTTCACACCTAAGGGCTCATTTGAGACAACAACAAACCTACCAGTGGCCATGCCACTACCAAAGATGGCCTATATCTCATCATAGAACCTCAGAGGGGTGTTTAGAAGCTCAGCATCTTTGGGATGGTCCTGCATTTAGTATTTCCTAGATAGTTAGTTGAGGCAGAGATGAAGACAGAGGAGAAGAAAGAAAGTTTACTAAGTACCAAGTACCTTGATGTGGCTAATGTAATGCTCAGGATCTAGCATGATTGCCCTCACTTCCTCATCCCATAGGGCTCCACTAAGGTCCTTAAGCTTGCTGATCCTACCCCACCTCTGCCTCCATTTCCTCAAGTGGTTGTACACTTGGGTGGAGGACACTTCCTCACCATAGTACTCTCTCAGCTACTTGGCTACCATGTTCACCTCCTTGTCCTTAAATCCCTTATCAGCTCTAGCCCCACTCTCAATGAGTTGCTTCATCCTCCTAAGGACAAAGCCACTAGTGTTTGCTGTCCACCTCATGGGTGGTCTAGCTGCTGCACCAGCACCAACAGCAGCAGCACCAGTAACAACATGCACATCATCAGCAGCAACAAGAGCAGCAGCAGGAGCTGGGGCAAAGGCAGACCCACCAGGCAGCATTGTAGATGCATTGACAAACCCAGCACCACCAGCAGCACCATTCCCAACCATCTAAGTACTATGTACAACACACTTGTCATGAACCAAGCACATAATATGGAATAGCAGGAGAACAACAGATTTGGAACATAAAATAATTGGTCTCAGCTGGTGTCCACAAAGGAAATATTACATAAGTCCAACAATGTAACATTAGTTCCATACAAGGCAGCCTTATCTTATTACATTAATTATCAGGACATAAAATGCACAGCTAGGTCCTATGAGCCCCCCCCTAGAATCCCACATGGCATCAGAGATTACATCCCTAACTGATACCATGATAGGCACCTCGTGTCTACAAAGCATTGACAGCTGGACTAGTGGAAGAAGAAGCAGGGTTTGCAACCCACTCTGCTTTAGTTGGTATTACTTCATCAACCCTAAACCCCAGGATCCAATTATGTAGGATGCAACAGGCTTGAACCAGCTTCACTTGTGTCTTGAACTTATGAAATGGCTTGTTATCTAGGATTCGAAAGCGGTTCTTGAGAGCACGAAAGGCCCTCTCAATGGTCACTCTAAGGGAGTTGTGCCTCAGGTTGTACAGCTCCTTGGCATTGTAGGGTTATGCCTAGGACCATACTCAGACAGGTGATACCTCACAGCCCTGTAAGGAGGCAGGAACCTAGGTCTACAAGCATAATCAGCATTCCACTAGATAGAATTTCCCTACAAGAGTGATGGATTGGCTTACAAGACAGAATTTTATGGTTTAAGATGAAATAGGCAGCTATGGGTAATGATGTTACCTTCAGGAACACTCAGCCCCTCATCCCTCTCCATAGAATCAGCTAGAACCAAAGCATCATGAGCAGACCCCTCCCACCCAGTTAGAACATATGTGAACTTGAGATCAAAATCAACAACTGCCATCACATTTTGTGTACAACTGCCTTTCCTACCCCTGAAGGGCCCCTGCATGTGCCTGGGCACCCTTGCCAACACATGGGTGCCATCAATGGCACCAATACAGTCCTAAGATGAAGGATTAAACATAAGTATGGAAATACAGTCATAAACCCAAGATAATGGAACCAAGGTAGCAAACAGTTACCTTGAAAAAAGGGTTCCACCTGTGACTACCCAGGATTTTGACATGTGTTGAACCATATGGTGGTTTTATCATCTCAGCCCTTAGTTCCCCAACAGCATATAGAACCTGGTGGAAGTGTCTACTAACTATCTCTATAGATCTCCTAAAGTTCTGATGGACAACTCTAACCCTCTGATTGTGCCCAACCACATGGAGAAACATGGCAACTTGTTCCTCAATTGAGGAATTAATTGTGTCTAGAACTAAACCCCTCTGCCTAAACAAGTCACAGAGTGCAAAAAAAGGTGCTCTACTCATCCTAAGCATGGCTATACACTCAGCATCAGTTGAGTTGTAAATGAGAGAAATGTTCTTCTCCCTGTGCTCTGCTTCTAACCTAGGGCCATAAGAAATGGGCTCATCCTCCCCTCTATGCCTTTTCAGTTTGGATGAAACAAGGGCAACCATGACAACTACCATGGTAGCAGCCTGAGAAGCCATGGTACATCTTTGCTGCTGCAAATCCATCTACATGCATGAATGAAATGTTGAATTCAGGTTAAGGCTGCCTTGCTGGCCTCTAAATGCATCACATTGCAGACATCAAACTGAACTAATGGACAGGGCTTCATGGCCTTGGCTGCAATGTGCAGAGCACAACCACCTAGAGCCTCCACCTCAACATCAGCGACCAAATAAACCCCACAAAATCAGATCCCAATCTCAAACCATGCTAAACAGTAAACCCTAGCTCATATACCTTATCACAATCAAATAATAGCATGAAAATATCATGGATTGGGACCAAGAACTCACAGATCGACCCAATAAACCAGCAACAGTGGGGTCCCAATCTCAGACCATGTCAAATAGTAAACCCTAGCAAACCCTAGATCATATGTATCATCACAGTGCATCAAAAACATGGAAACATCATGGATTGGGACAAAAAATCACATATCTGCCACAAAAACAACGCTATGAGCACTTTGACCGTCGAAATCGGGTCAAGTGTAACCAACATTCGAAGATTTCACCTTGCTTTGGGGATGGAGGAAGCAGCCATGAAACAAGCCGACAGCTTGGGGAGGAGGAAGCAAATCCGGAGAGGAAGAAGGCGAACGCTTAGGGAAGACGAAGCAACGTCCACCACAGGCCCGCGTCTAGGCAAACAAACACCAGCAACCAGCAACACCGCTCGTCTCGAGGAAGAAGACGACAACGAGCAACAGCACCCGTGCGTCGGCGAGACGGAGGAGCAGCCGACGCGAGCCACGCGAGGCCCGTCTACGACCTGCCACCACCACGCACCGCCGGACGAGGGAGGAGGCAACCACACCGAGGACAGTGGAGAGCAGGAGGGATTGAGGAGCGAAGAAGACGAGGAGTGAGCGGCGCCCCTCAATATAAGGGAGGCGAAACCCTAGCGGCAAGGAGGGGGAAATTTCCGCGTCGCACGCGAGACACGGAGTGCCAGCCCGCCAACAGCCAAAAGGGAGCACGTGAGGCCAAATCGAGCCGAGCCCGGGAGAAACGAGGGGGAGGGGCGTTCCTCGCGGGCCTGGCTCCCAACTGCTTTAATCAGCGTGCAGGCCGAGCCCTAGAGGCATAGGCAAACAAACCAGCCCCCTTGCACGGGCTGGGCCTGGCTCACCCCCTCGTTCAGGCAAACAAACACGTCCTCCATAGCCACCAGTAGGCTGCCTAGATCCACCCGTCCACATTCATGTCAGCGACAGGCTCCCGCGCGTCCACGCACAAGGCCAGCTACGGCGCCCTCAGGGAAGGCCATCGGTGGCTCCCACGCTTGCCGACGGTGGACCGGTGGTTGCCATGCAACTCTGGGCAGGGCGGCGTAGGTTGCTCTCCCTGCCACAACAGCAACTATCGGACCAGGGCCAGCCTCGTAGACAGCATAGTCCAACCCAGGCTGACGGAATCATGGCGTCCAAAGCGAATGCATGCCCACACCGACACGCAGGTCAACGCATACAAAGGAGAGTAAAAAAGGGGCAAAATCGTCTTTTAGAAAGAAAAAAAAGGCATCTGGCCGAATAGAAAGAAAACGATAACGACAGTGGCACATAGGACACGACAAATTTTACTCGGTGGGGCGTTAGGCACCACAATCTTTTTAGTGGTAGATACAGAATTTCGAATTTGTTTTGGTGGCGCACAGGTAAAAGTCTCTAAAACCAGCATTTGACAAGTGTCGGAGCCATCGCTAGGTCAGATTTCAAAATAACCAGGACAGCCATGGCAGTCACTCTTCCTCATAATTTTACATATATAGATCAGCTGCTTCAACTTGCTTGACCTTCTCCAAAAGATCAGACCAACCTAGGATTACATAGGTATCATGGAAGTTAAATACTTAGCATCACTTGCCATTCTTTCGATAGGGTGGTTTACCCCTCTGGCTGTTCTTCCCTCGTAGCATTGCCATTGTCGGGCCAAGGGCGCAGCTCCTGAGGGCTCTGTAAGACCAAGCTGACGTACTAGCATTTTGTTTCCATGTTCCCCAGCCATTTTCCTGAACATCGACCTTATCACTGGACTCATCATTCTTTTCCCAAACCGTGCTTTCTGACTTTCCTGCGTTAACGTATCCAAATTATTGTATATCAAAAATGCTTGGTATGAAACCAAAATACTTCAAGGGGCAGTGTTTGGTATGAATTATTGTACCCAGTTTGCATTCTTCATCTTTAGTGTTGTTTACCACCAAGGGTGATTTCTGGCTCCCAATATTGCCTTCAAGTTTGCGTTCTTCATTTTTAGTGTTGTTTGCCACCAAGGGTGATTTCTGGCTCTCAATATTGCCTTCATTTTTGTGTAAGGTAACTGGCCTTCCAGCCAGTGCTGATCCAACTTCATTGCATGTTTCTGCCGAGGGAGTACTAGCAGCCCCTAGCACTGGTTCAATACCCTTCAGTAGCCTTACATCAAGAAGTGAAGAGTACTCGATCTGCAGAAGATATTAAGCATGACACATTCCAGGTTAGACTAGCTGGTAATAAGGCTAGAAAGTAGAGAAATATTGATTACCTCCAAGGAGCCATCTTCCTTGTATGGTGACAAGTCCGCAAGCATATCTGACTCGTCCTTGTTTTCTTTTTCCTCGGTGGTGATTGGATACTCTTCAACGGGTAAGAGAATGATACGCAATGATATGGGATCATATATCAGAACTTTTCCGACCTGAAATAGCAGGGTGAGACATGACTTAGTTTTGCAAAAATTCAACCCTGCCAATTAGTCCAATATGCGCCATGCCTTTTTATTACAAGTTTCCCCAAGCCCCAAGCATGCAAAAGTTGCTCAGTCCAGTTGGCATTAATATCACTTATGTTTCAAACAACCCTGAGAAAAAAAAATACTTAGACAATGCAAATGAAATTATATCATACACGATACGCAGACAGCTCCGGACACAACATGGAAGACAGCTCAACCAATCTGTAGGCAATCAGATCTCCCTCCTGCAAGGTCCAAAAGACAGGTAAACTCTTGAATGAGGGAAAAAAATGAACTGTGATGTTGCCCCATTATTCAGTTTCTTAAGGATATACTACCTCTGTCCCAAAAAGAATGTCAAAAAAATATAAAAAGCTTTAGTAACCTTGTGCCTTAATCTAGATTCTACCAACGACACTTCTCTGAATTCAAGCATGAGAACAGAGAATCATTTTGGAACCTCTAGTCCTTCCTTCCAATAGAGAAAGAAAACACTCATTGTAGCACTTAATGTACTGACTGGTTGAAAGTAACGATATCTCACAGTTACTTCTATGATAGAAAAGTTAACGCCCAATATTATGTATTAGACAGCAAGTTTGCCATTATCGTGACCCTATGCCCTGATATACCACAAAACTTCTACAACTTCAAGCACAAGAACAGACAGCCAATTAGAGGCTTAATCACTAAACTGTTAGCTATCCATTTTCAGCCATTATTAATATTCACTTTAGTACATAACATATGTTGATTCAGGGTAAGGTAAAAATTATCAACCAATTGCATGTATGACAGATAAGTTAATTCTCAACTGATCAACGTATGGTAGACATGTTCAACTGTTTCATAGCAAATGTTAGAATGAACACAGAATTGTATCTTCTACCCTTGTAGCAAGATTATCCCTTATTCCCTCGCATATAAATATAAGAAAAGCCTATCTATAACCATGTTTTTGCAAGACAGCATCCTCTTTCTGGGTTTATATATTGGCAAAATGTTAGAATGGACACAGAATTGTATCTTCTGCCCTTGTAGCAAGATTATCCCTTATTCCCTCATCATATATAAATACAAAAAAAGCCTATCTGTAGACTATATTCATGTTTTTGCAAGACAGCATCCTCTTTCTGGGTTTATATATTGATATATTATCCTATTTAATTCCTGCACATGTGATGTAATCAGTAGCCTCCCATCCCAATTAAAAGAAATGAAATACCTTTGGAAGTCGCGTTAGGGGGTACAAGCTCTCAAAATCGAAAGGTTCACCACTAGACTTTTCTTCATTAGCAACAGTTTTCGCACTGGACATCTCAATATTACTGCCTTCATTGTTCCTTCGATTACTGACAGCACAAAAGCCATTTTCAGTAACCTTAATGTCCTTGACATGATTGTTAACTTCAGTGCTGCTTCCAGCTATTCCTGCATGATAGCCGATATCGGCGTTTTTCTTGTTTGAGCTATCAATTCCCCACTTCTGGCCCTTCTTTTTGCTCATTGTTCCACTCCATTGGAATGTGCCCTGAAACCACAAAAAAAACATCAATGGGACAGCAGGTCCAACCAATTGCTGACCATTTTTCCATGTTTTCAGGTTAGGGAAGAAACTGCAATATTTCCTATTATCTTGATCCCAACCAATCGTTAAAAACTCAACGATGCTATTGATCCCCTAAATTATCTTCTGAAACAAAATGATGGTATCATTAACTGTGATAATATCATTATAAGCTAGAGAAAATATCAGGTGCACAAGATCATACTGGCGAACACACACAGAAACTTAACCTTGTACATTAGATCAAACATGAGTGTGGCCAAGTCTGATTTTGGTCATCTAACTATAAAACCAAACATCTTTGGCCATAGAACTATTAAAACCAGACAGCTTGGGCACTTGATTGGTTTCAAAGGCGGTATTGCTTATATATGTATTTTTCTCAAAAAATACTCCCTCCGTTCAACATTGAAAGTCATTTAGACTTTTTCTAGGTACATACCTTTAGATACGCATCTAGATATACATTATGTCTAGATACATAGTAAAAACTACTCCCTCCGTCCTAATATATAAGGCGTAACCACTTTTTATTCAAGTCCCATAATATAAGGCGTGCTCTCTCCACATCGATGCAGTAATATGTTGAGAGATAATTAAATACATTCCTTGGTCTTTGAACCAGTGGTGGTTACACCTTATATTTTGGGACGGAGGGAGTATGTATCTAGAAAAGCTAGAACGATTTACAATTTAGAACGGAGTATATGGTTAAACCTCTAAAATTCATAACTAACTCATTTTAAATGAAAAATACAAAACCATATTTTTAGAAATATGGTTCATCTAGACTAACATAGCACAAAACGATAATTTAAATAAATAACAGTCATGACTACAAGCAACAAAACACTAGCAACGGGAACAAGAACCCAACTTACACCAATAGATAGAATGTATTTTTAGAAAAAAAAATTGGTATGTATATTTATATTTAAAATGAATTTGTTATGAATTTTTAGAGATTTAATCATATTATTCTTTTTTAGAAAAATACATATGTAGGCAAACCCAACTTTGAAACCAATTGAGGGGCCAAAATTGTCATGTTCCACTGCCAAAGATATTTGGCCTTGGAGTTTGATGGCCAAAACACAACTCAGGCGATTGTCCGATGGCAAAAAATAGACTTCTTCCTAAAACTAATAAGTCCTAAGAGCAACTCCAGCAATGTCCTTATATGGGCCCTCATCCTAAGGATAAATGAGATTGAAGGTAGGCAAGCACATGAGATGATCTTGTCGAGCATTTGTGGCAGAGGCGGAGCCACCCATATGGCGAGGTGGGGCGGCCGCCCTACCTCCCCTCCGGCGAGCAACCCGCATCTCCGGCAGCAGCGCAGCCGCGCAGGTCCGAGCGACGGAGCGAGCGAAGCTGACGGCGACCGGGATCGAAGGCGAAGTGAGCAGAGCGTCCGCACTGCTGACTGCTGGGCCGTCTGGCGAACAAGGCCTTGCCGGCTTGGCCCATTCAATCGTGCAGCCCAGAGCCAGAGGCCTTAGGCCCTTAGGGCAAGCAGAGGCGCCGCACTCCCAGCCTTCCATCGCGCCACGTTCCCGCATCGCTCGCCCGGCGCCCGCTCGCCGCTCGGCCGCTCCGCGCTCCAGTTCTCCGCGCCGCTCGCCCGCTCGGCCGTCCCGTGCCTCCACTCTCCAGTCCTCCGCGCCGTCGAGCCACTCGGAGGCCGCAACCCCAAGCCGCCGAGCGGAGGCAGGTCAGGCAGCAGCGGCCCTGCGCCCGAAGGCGGCCACCGGACTGCCTCGCCGTCTCGGTGCTGAACTACTGATGGATGGGGGAGGAGATGAAGCTAGAGCCCACGATGGGTCGTCTAACAGAGGCACGACTAGGCCGGCAGCTCCAACTCCAACTCCATTGAGTTTAGCTCCAAAGCGGCCTCGATGTTCTTAGAGTTTTATTATCGGTTTGTTTTCCTACTATGTTTGACATTTTTTTACATATTGCCTCATTTATCACTTACTCATTAGTCATTGCTAATTTTATTTTATTTGCAGGTTATTTATGCTTTTTTTATCATTTGATGTATGGACATGGTTAATTATCTGGACTATGGAACAAAAATTCTGCTTATGTCTTTTTCATGTGAAAGGTAACCGTGTTCCAACTTCTTGTTAGACTGCCATATTATGGGCTGTATCTTGGGTCATTAGCATTGTTGTATGGGCTGTAACGCCCTGGGCTTGGGCTGAGTGCGCCTGTAGGCGCCCCTTGGGGTTTTATGGTAGATGATCTTGGGTTAGGCAAGGATCACCGTTGATTGGGTGTTTCTATAAACCCTTGACAATCCTTGCCTATATATATTGTATTTATTTGGTACCTCCATAATCAATCTACTGAGTTTTCCCGAGCCACCTCTTCTCTCATGGTACCACGAGTCTGGGTATTCACCCCGATTCCACCTCCGCTGCCCTAGCGCGCCTTCCCCCTCGGCTGCGCTCATCCCACCCATCTGCGCCGGCTTCCCCTGCTGTGCTGCGATGCCTGGGACTCCTCCCCCTCTCCCAAATCGGCAGCCGCCGCCGCTGCCTCCACGGTCACCGCAATATCCAGCCTAGACTCCGATGCCCAAGCCAAAGGCTGCTGCTGCCGCCAAAGCCGCCGATGTGGATGCCGCTGCGCGCCTGCGCGCAGCCAATCGGAAGGCTGAGCGCGATGCCGCCCTCGCGCGCGCCGCCGCTGCTGAGAAGGAAGCCCAGGCCGCCGCTCTGGAGCGCGACGCTGCCACCACCCGCGCTCGCGACGCCCTGGCACGCGCCGCCGCTGGCGCTATCACGGACGGGGACGATGAGGACACCCTCTCCGATCACGCCTCCGACCACGACAACACCGATCTGCATCAAACCCTCCTTCTGCACGAGGCTGCTGCAATCGCCGACCTCCATTCCCAGGCAGTAGCGGTCCAGAACATCCGCAACCTTGTCACGGTTGTTCTTGACCTCAACGCCGGCAACTTCAATTGGTGGCGCGATCAGTTCCTCCTCATCGTTGGGAAATATTCTCTTCAACATCATGTCCTGCAGGACTTACCGGCGCCTGGTTTCCCTGACTGGCAGCGCATGGATTGCGTTGTCAAGTCATGGATCCTCTGCACCATCTCCGACGACCTCGCCGCGACGATCTCAGCGCGCAACTCCACTGTCCGCGACACTTGGTGCGCCGTGGAGTCCCAGTTCTTCAACAACCGCGAGACACGCGCCCTCCTCGACGCCAAGCTCCGCAACTTCGTTCAAGGTGATATGTCCATCACCGATTACTGCAAGGAGCTCAAGCGCATGGCGGACATGCTTGGTGACTTAGGTGAAGTCGTCACCAACCGCACCCCCGTCCTCAACCTCATTCGCGGTCTGAATGAGCGCTTCAAGACCGTCGGCATGCATCTCCGGCGAGGGTGCCCCTTCCCCACGTTCCTGGACGCGAAGGCTGACCTCCTCCTGGAGGAGCTGACGATGGAGAACACGACGTCGTCTCAATCGACAGCGCTCGCCGTTTCCACCACTACGTCAGCCCCGTCACGCCCTCCTGCTGTTCAGCAGCTTGCATGATCCGGGGGCGGCTCTGCTCCATCCAAGAACCGCCGCGGAAAACACGGCGGCCGGCGCGACGGCGCTGGTGGCAACTCGGCGCCCACTGGTACGCAGCCAGGTGCCCAGTCCAGCGCGCCCTCTGGTGGACAGTTTAAGGCTGGCAGCTCCGGCTCCGGGGGCGCGCCATGGCCCTCCTACCGCTCGTGGGCCGGGGCCATCCAAATGTGGCCTGGACCACAGCCTGGGCAGCAGCCTCCACTTGCGCCACTGCCCGGCACCCCTCAGCACGCTCTGCTGGCCCGGCAGACTCTTCAACAGCATGCTGTGCCTGCCCCGGTTATGGAGAATACCGGGTCCTGGACTGCACCACCCCCCGGCTACTACCAACCGCTTGTCGGGCTTCCTACATGGGATCAGCCATCTCTGGCCTCGACATTCAGCACCATGACGCTGCAGCAGCCACAAAACAACAATGACTGGTACTTCGATTCAGGTGCAACCTCTCACATGTCCTCACATTCCGATTCACTTTCACATACTACTTCGCGGTATCCTACTCCATCGTCCATTGTTGTCGGTAACGGATCCTTACTCCCCGTTACATCCACTGGCTCTACAGTTATTTCACCGTCTTTCCGTCTTAATAATGTGCTGGTTTCCCCACAACTTATTAAGAACCTAATTTCTGTTCGCCAGTTCACTATCGATAACAGTTGTTCTGTTGAGTTTGACCCGACTGGGTGTTCTGTGAAGGATCTTCTGTCTCGGAACGTGATCGTCAGGTGCAATAGTTCCGGACCGTTGTACCCTCTCCGGCTGCCAGCTGCTCACTCCTTGGTCGCCGCCACCGAGTCTTCACTTTGGCGTCACCGCCTCGGTCATCCTGGACACAAGGCCCTCTCCAAGCTTGCGTTGAGTCTTCCTACTTGTCATCATGATACTACTACTGTTTGTCATGCGTGTCAATTAGGTCGTCATGTGCGTCTTCCATTTCAGTTGTCAACTTCTCGAGCGTCCAATAACTTTGATCTGATACATTGTGATCTGTGGATATCACCTGTTCTTAGTGTCTCGGGCTATAAATATTACTTGGTTATTCTTGATGATTGTTCACATTATTTATGGACGTTTCCTCTGAAGTTGAAATCTGACGCTTTTCCGACACTCGCACACTTTTTTGCCCTTGTGTCCACTTAGTTCGGCACCACCATCAAGGCAATTCAGTGCGACAACGGTCGTGAGTTTGACAACTCCAGCTCCCACACGTTCTTCCTTACCCATGGTGTTCGCCTCCGCATGTCATGCCCATATACTTCCGCCCAGAACGGTAAGGCCGAGCGTATCATTCGTTCCATTAACAATGTGATTCGCTCCCTACTGTTCCAGGCTTCCCTACCACCCTCATTCTAGGTCGAAGCTATG